AAACATTAAAAACATAAAATATATAAATACATAAAACCTTAATTAAAAACATTACTAAAAATGTTAAGATAATAAAATAATTCCCAAAGAATACATAATGAAATTGCACGAGGCAGAGCAATAATACCTCAGGGTTGGTTTTTGGTATGTGTGTGCATGCATGTCTTTGAGTCAGTCTCCATGCGATTTTCTTGGCCATATTTGCAGAAGTGATTTGTCATTGCCTTCTTCCTTGGTTGAAAGAGTAACTGGCTCAAAGTCATCCAGTTGACTTCTGTGCTCAAGGCAGGACTAAAACTCAAGTTTCCTTACTCCTGGTCCAGGTCCTTACCCACTAGACCAAACTGGCTCTCAATCAATTGATCGATCAATCAATCAATCAATAATTGAATGCTTCATGAATGCATGTATCATTCTTGCACAGGGGCCATGATAAACTTTCTGTATTGTTTCAATGTCAGTATATGTGCAGTCAAAGCAAGTACAATTCCCCAGTATTACATTCTAAAATTGATTATTCAAACAGGAGGGGGATCATCAATACCATACTCACATATCCCACCTCAGAAAGCATCTCCAGAAGGAAGAATGACATGATTAATATTATCAGAAAGTGGTGAGAAATTCAAGACAACCAGCTAGGTTGGATGAATTTCACTTTCCCCTCTCACAGTGCAGAACATCTCATAGAAGCCAAAACAGCCTGAAGGAACTATATCAAATTTTACCCAAAAGTATTTTAAGTATATCAGTAACAAAGCAATACCCATGAAGGGAATGCTAGCAATCAGGTTATAGCTTTTTGGATCCAAATTACATTTCTTTAGAGGCAGCCCAATCACTTCCCCTTTGGCAAAGATTGGTGCTGCTCCTTGTCTCAAAGAGATCCTTACAACCTCCTAATTTTAGATTGGATATCTCTCTCTCTCACACACACCCACACACACACACCCACACACACACACCATGACATGCAATTAAGCAAGAGGGACAAGCATCCAAAAGCCAGCTGAATGTGTCCAAACATCTCATCTATGTCCTTGGGCTTCAAAACTGAAACTCAACTAACTGAACTAGGTGGATTTTGAAGGAACATGCGAAATCCTTTGACCATGAACCATTCTAAGATCAGCACAGCCTTTTTGGGTTCCAAGCATGAAACAATTTTTAAAAAAACTTTGTTCCAAGTGTGAAACAAAAGTTGGCTATCTTGGGAGACATATATTTGAATATGCAACTGCAAACCATTTCTATCTCAAAACAACCATTATGACTGTTCCAGGTACAAAGCAACATGCTTGGAAAGTATTCTGATCATGAAACAAAACACATTTTCTACTTCATGTTCATCCTTAGTGTTTTGTCACCACAATTTCTGCATTGTCTTAAATGGGAATCTAACTATTGACAATGCAAATAATTTGAGTAAGCCATTTAAACTTTGACAGCATTGTTACCAAAAGTATCGTGTGTTTTTTTCAAATTATAGATCTCTTATCTCACTCCACCCCAAAAAGTCCAACTGAGTGACATTCCACAATAAAATGAAGATATTGGCTATGTATACTAAATTGGTCCCCTCAATTACATCATAGATGTTATTTTGGACTGATTGAAATTCAGCCTCAGATGAGTGGACAAGCTGGTAAAGGCCTCAGGAACTCTTCCAGGTGGAAAAAAAAAAGACATAGTAGGGAATAGCTATAATTGCTTTTTTCATAAATTGGCCCATTAACTGTAAGTAAAATCAACTCTAAATTCTTAAAATCTATGCTTTGGTAACACCATATTCTAGCTATATATTCTAGAATCAAGAGATTTTGAAGAAACACTCTACAGCAATTTGAAAGTTACGTGATATTTATTTGAAGAAAAAGTGAAAGACATTACCAGGATAGTATAATATTATTCTAGCTGCTACTAGACTAGGACAGAATACATTCACATCAGAGCAAGGTTCCAATACAGAACACTCATACTGTCACACACACACTTTCTGAACTCACATATGCATGCACACAGCAGCTTTAGACACAGAAAAAGCAAGGGACACTGAGCTGAAGCTTGCCCATGCTTTTATTGAAGGAGGGGTCCTTCCAAATTTTCAGTGCAGTTCCAGATGCAAAAGGCACAATGCTGTGAAGTTTCCCAGTTTACTGTGTAGGCCAAAGATAATTTCCCAGATAAGAATGTGACATTATTCCATACTTCAGAGCTTAGAGCTGGCAATACAGGTTGAGGTTGTACCCCAAAATAAAGTGTATAAAGCAGGGGAGATAAGAATAGTTTTAAGGCCAGCACTCCAAGTTTATTAATGTTTCTGCATGCCTGCCAGCCTTCAAAAGAATAAACTGATTGCCTCTATGATCTTTGTAAACACTTTTGTCTTTTATGTCAAGTAGTCCTAAAGACTTGAAAACTAAAATACATATCTTTAAAGAATCACAGTGTAAGTGATAAAAACCTCTTTGTGCCACAAACACTTTTTAACATATCAGGATCCAAAGATCTGAATGGGTCCACTGAAGAGACTGAATATGCTAGTGGACTAGAATATTTTAGTTATTTTCTTTGAAAGTAATCCAACACATTGCAAAGGTTTGTTTGTTTTTTTAACATCAAAAGCAGTTTCCCATGCACCATAGGGAAGAGAGGGAATGCTGTTCAATAAATACAAAACTATAGCTGCAATTGTATACACATATATTTAGCTCATTAAATCAGTAAGGCTCATTTCCAAGAAAGCATGCCACTCAGCTTCTTTCAACATTTACGTCTGCTAGAGATGGGAGGGATCAACAATTAAACTGTTTTTATCTTCCCTCTGGCAGTCATGATATGTATATTTGATTGGCTTTTTCCAAGTCTTAAGTCCCCCCCCCCACTTCCACAAAAATTTCCAGTGCCCCATTTGTATTCTTTCAATTAACCTGATAGGTATTTGGCCCTCAAGCCAAAGACTAGTCATTCAAAGCTATATCCTACCAGACCCTATTGTACAACTGAGAGTACAATCAAGATGGCTTCAGAAAAGGTTGTTTTTGTCCATTTGTATCTAGGATTACTTTCAGACTGCCAGCTTCCTCAGCCACCTAAAGTCACATTATGAGTTGGGTGAACAAACAACTTGAATAAATAAATCCCCAATATAAATAATATTAAAAATTATGCACAATTGTATTTTTTTCTCATACAAATAAGCTCAATAATAAAGATCCAACATTAAGTATCTTAAAACACTCTTCCCATCTTCAACTTCAGGCAAATGAGAATTAGAACATATATGGACCCCAGTTAATTAAACCTTTCTAGGCAAAAATGGGCAATAACTTCTAGGAATCCTGGTTCTTTTTCTATACCTTTCCTCTTCATCACTTTCTTGATAGTATACTTCAAATTAAATAGCAACCTGAAAGAAGTGATTGCTTTTAATCTTAGAGAAGCAGAATGGTGATAGAATGCTCAAGGATAAGCAGTAACCTCAAATTAATTCATACCTCCAAGTCTCTGGCTGGTGGCAAGGCACAGCTAATAAATGAACTGTTGTTTTAAATCACTCTGCTTGTTATAATCCCAGAAATATTTAATTCTGACAATATTCTTCAGAGATGGAGAGCTACATACAGCCAATGTGACCATGACTGGATCTCTCCCATTCTCTAAGGCAGGGGTGAGGACTCACGATTGCTCTAAGGTGACATCAACTTTCTGCAATCTCAGATTGGCAGAATATGATAAAAATCAATCCCACTTACAACAAGTCAGGAACCCAAGAATACCAGTTAGCAAGAAATCAGTACTGAAGGCATTGGGTGTACTGACTGCGGTGTTTCATGAAGATCTACACACCCTAGAGCCTGCAGTCCCACTCCCAACAAGTTCTGATACACATCTATGAAAGCAGGACTTCATCTGAAAGATCATTTGGGGAAAATAACCTGAAGATGCACAATAAAAACAATTGCTCCAATCACTTAGGAAGCAAAATGGCATTTTAAACAGTACAACAGAGAAGAGGCATCACAATCCTTCTGAGGTTATATGGCAGCTGGTTTTTTCCCAGGATGTAGGATTACCAGCTCAGGCCATCTTTACTGTGCTACATTAAGCTTGCATGTCAGAGGGTAGCAACTAGTTAGTGGCCAAAAGGCATTTCTTGTCTTCATTTTCAGTACTATTTAAGGCCTGCAGTTTCTTTCCACCCTCCCTTCAAATTCAAAGTTTTTGACTGGCAAACAGCAGGGGATAGGTGGTGGTGAACTTTTTTGGTTGGTCATTTCAAACCAATAATGGTTTGGGGAATGGTTCTCAGCCCAAGAAAAGATGCAGTTGTTTTATGTCATTTAAAAAGCATGGTGAGCTCTTAGAAAGTTCAAAGGGAAACATGGCAGCTGCTGCAAATCCGCATTAGTGGGAATCCTTTCTTCAGCAATCTGGGAGACAGTAAGGATTGCTCTTTGGGAACAAAAACCTCTGTAGAAATAGATGTGATCAGATATTTACTTCTCCAGTACTGAGTCAGCTAAGAGTGCTTCTGGCTCCATATAGGCAGATGAGTGACCCTTACCAAGCGGAAGTGCAAATAATGCTATACTATGGGTGATAAAGAGATGTAAAAAGAGTGAATGGGAACAAATACCAGGTTAGAAAAAGCATATTTCCTTGCAAAGATGCTGCAGATAAAGGCCAGATGCCTTTCATTCTGTTTGGTAAGCAGTTCTATATGATACAACGGGTTTCTCAAATAGCAAGTCCAAATATTGCATTTCAGTACGTTGGCTTCATTTCCAGGGTTCTTTGAATTAGAGCTGCACACTCTGCATTGGACCATAAGCTCAACAGTCCATTAAATGCATTAAAGACAGCAACTCGCTTTCCTGTACCAGGACATCCCATAATGAGACTTTACAGATGACTTGCGTCCCAGTTGGATGTAGCAAAGGACAAAGTTTTATAAGCAGCTTCTGCCTTTCATCTAGACAGAGAAACTGGGTGGGCTTTTCCTTATGCCCCATCGCATTTGTTAAGTGCAAAAAAACCCAGATGAGGCAGGAACACTGCACTGCTCTGGACAGCAAAACAGCAAAAGTCAGAATCCAAGATGTTGTTGCTTGGAAGCAACTTTCATGGCACTGTGGCTTTCCAGACATATAGCGCACTAGGACACAGAGTGTAAATAAGACTTTGGTCTTTGGTACAAAATCTCTTCATTCTCATCAACACACACTGAAAACTGAAGGGGCCTGGGTCCTGTATTTTTCATGGAAAGCTTTGAGAATGGGCACTAGGTTTGTAAAAGCTGGGCGGAATGAAGCTTCTGTTTCCCAACAGTTTTTCATCAGACGATAAATCTGTGGGAAAAAAAGAAAAGTAGCTCAGAAAATTGTCCAATACTACGTGGCATCGCTTTGCTGGTAAACATAAGCAGCTCTGTTCCCATGAATTTGTTTTCTAGATTCCAAGCTAGCTAAAGAAAAGGAAAATCATACATCAAATCAATATATGACAGAGAAGACACTGTCTCACAGTTATACTGTTCTGTAATTTCTGCTCTAAAAGCCATCACTAATGGGTAAAATGGTGATCCTCAGGAGATACTAGATTTCTCTTAAACTTCCAAACTCAGATTATCTGCAGCATTCACTGCTTCAGAATACAAAGCCTTTGTGGCTTGTGAGAATCATATTTATTCACATAGTTATTTGTAGAAAATTGAGATATATTTAACATGAAGGCCTTAATACTTAGGAATTGTTTTTATTTATATCAGGAAGCACCCTCAAATAAGACCTTCTGATGGATTAGTGACGTTCAGATTTTGGCTAATACTATAAATCACTGGAAGGCTTACCTGAATTGTGCCCTGTTATTATTGGTGCAGGAATATGAATATAAGAATGCAGTGCAATACCATTTACCTGGGATTAAGACCCACTGAATCAATGGGACTTCTACGTAGGTAGGTACAGAACTGCACAGTAAGTAATGCAGCACTGTAGCAAGAGCATTTATAAAATACTCTTAACATGCTTCTAAAGTGTCACAGACATTTCCTTTGCTTACTACTGTATATCGTTATCTTCCAAAAAGCATAAATGCATCCCTGGCTCTAGCAACTGATCCTTTATCCATTTAAACATGAATCAACAATCCTGATCTCATATTTAGCTATCAGACATGAATTAGCATTACTTACTGTTGATTACTTTTGGCTATTTAAGCTTAGAATGGGAAGTATCCTAGAGTAATCCATGATCCCATAATTTCCAATTAATACGCTATTTTCTGGACCTTCAGCAGATGCCACGAAGATGAGAAACACAGTTACCTTAATTCTGTTTGGGAGCTCCGGATGCAGCAAAATAGTGAGATCCCTAGACTACAGCTTCTAAAATAAAAAGGCAGTCAAAGGCAAAGGAGAACAGACTTACCTCACAAGGGCAGTCCTTTGGACTGGGCAGCCTCATCCCTCTGTCCAGCAGTTCTATCAGCCGCAGCACTGTCATCTGACCCTGAGTCATGCCAATCATCTCAATAAATCGCTAAAGCAACATGGGGAAATCAGTCAGTTGGGGTCTTCACTAGGAAACAGGAAGATGCCACTTGCCAAAAGTTCCTCTCTCTTCAAAAGACTTTACAATGAACTTCTATGCATTTTTCTCAGAGGTAGCAGAGGTTTGAGAAAAATTGTTTCAGAAAAATAATTATACTATAGACATACTGAACAATGGAGCATTCAGTCAGTCAGAAGGATCTAAAAGCATACCAAGATGATGTTGTATCATGTTATACATTCCTGGACACCATGGGAACTGAACGATATATGCAAGAGCGCTGTGCTGACAGCCATCAACCTCTAGGCCAACATGGACTACAGCATGCTGGACAATGGACTACAACTAAAACAGCACAGGCAGTCCTCTGAAGTACAGACACTGTAATAGGCAATCTTTTTGGGCCAGGAATACACTTAGAATTTTGAAAGCATGCAGTGGGTGCATTTACAAAATGGCTACTGTGGCAGCCTGTCCAGGTCCAAACATCTATTTAGCAGAAAGCAAATGAGCTCTCTAAAATGTTATCTACATTTTGACATCCAGTAAGGTTTAAAGGTACTGCTGTTAGATATAATGCTAGAATCTGATGCTTTGCTTTATTTTTTATCAGAAGGAGCTGATGGGTACCCAGGAAGGTGCCACAGAACATGGGCACTATGCTGTCTATGGCTGAGTCATTTAAATGCATCCAAGCAACAGTTATATTGAATTTTTTTACTTATTCCCAGTGCTGCTAAATAAATGTTATGAATAATAATTTCACTCACTGCTGGAGGGCTCTGACTCGAATCACATCGTGTCAACAGTTCATATAAAGTCACTCCAAAGGACCAGACATCAGAAGCATAATAGAATTTACATTCCTTGAGGCATTCCACAGCATACCTGTAGAAACAGCAACAGAGAGCTGATAAACTGCACCTTAATTAGAGCAAAGTACATCTAGCTCCCTTTTTATTATCCAATAGCAGTCAAATGGCTTTGAAAGTTGCCAAATAAGGTATTTACAACTGACTTTTTATATAAGTTTGTAAGACTGCAATCCTTCTTTTCCAAAGCACTTTTCTATATAAAAGCACACAATTGTCATCATTCACTCGAGTTATTGAAAACAAGATAGTCACTCGTTTCCAGAAAAGCTGGGAACATTAAGCCCACCCCCCAAAAAAAGAATATCAGAGTTGAAGGGCACTGAACTCTGTTTGAAATCTTTATTTTAGATTTTATCTTTGCTCTCTCAGCACTTAAACAGGAAGAAACTGTTTTACAGCTACTACCTTTTCTCCATGATCATGATTAAGATTTTGCTTTCCACATGGTATAATGCCTGTATAAATGAGTTATAAAGCAGTTATATCTCTCAAGTATCTAAAATCCATAAACCACTGCAACTGTTTACATACCAGAAGACAGGGCTGTCTCCATCTTCACAGACACGGTAATATTCATGTCCTTCGGGGATGGCTTTGGCAAGACCAAAGTCTCCAATCTTTACTACATTCTCATTCTCTAGGAGCACATTTCTAGCTGCTAGATCTCTATGGATGTAGCGCAAGGAGTGGAGATAAGCCATTCCCTGCAAAGAAAATAAGGTTACCTGGCGTTCTGCAATCAGAGAAGCCAAAGCAATCAATAGCTCTGTCTATATAGTACCCAAAGGCAGAGCTAGCAATCCTGAATTTCACATATCCTATTCCATTTATAAAAATAAAATCTTTCCCCAGTACTAAGGAACAATCACATAAACAACTTTCTCCATCCTCCTTTAACTATAAGAATCAATTCCTCTTTCAGAACAGGAACTATAACCCAAGAAAAAGGTATTCCCTCAGTCAAGAACCACACAAATTCTATATCTAACACTGATACAACTTTACCTCACAAATCTGCTGGGCAAAGAGGAGAATGTGGGCCAAGCTGACATTGTGCTTGGGAAGATATTCCCTCAGACTTCCCAGAGGCACATATTCCATGATAAGCTGCACAATCTTTTCCCCTGGAATTGAAAAATGCAAGAAATATTACCTTAAAAAGAAGTGTCATTGCTTGCCCTAATTTACTTGGTCTTCAAAGCTCCTGGCATAAATAAAGCACACATATAGAGCCTGCAGTTCACATTTGATCCTCAGGTATCTTTTGTGCAGTTCATCAGACCCACTTGCCATACCCATTTCTCTCCTCTGCTGACTTTGCATACTTTATCTTGCCATGTTAATGGAACCTGTCCTGCTGCCAATGTAGCTGACACACTCCAGAGAACCTATAATAAGTTGGTAGATTCAGCAACTGTCTTTCTGAATACGGATACTAACGTGTTTTCAAGAGCACCCAGAAGGTCAAATGTTCAATGGTCTACAGCTAGGCTGCTGAGTTTAACTGAACTTATAATCTCAGAGGTAATGCGCTTCTAGAAGGATGGCAGAAATGAAGCAGAGTCTTGCCTGACCCACAAATCAGTTGATTGATCTTACTGTAGAAATCATATAAGAGTATATAGATGACCTAGCTATTAGTGGGAAAAAACCCAATGGAATAGGAATATAGTGTGGTTGAAGGAGAAACTATAACCTGAGTGAGGGTGAGAATGAATGGCTGAATAAATGGGAAGAAAAGGCAGTGTGCATGCAGGGACCATATTGTCTGCTCATATGGGAACACCACCCTGAAAAAGTTGCCCAAATTTGCAATATGTAATTTAGAATTATAGAGGCTAATTCAAAAATTATGCCTATGATGAAGCTAGGATATGAACTTGGAGCTCTTGGGCCTAATTCTGGAAGTAGCATATGCTAAGCTAGCCACCGTTTTGCTCCTGAGGGATCAACTCAGCAGATTCCATACCTTGTTCGCTGCAGCAGCCTTTGTATTTTACAATATTCTCATGGTAAAGTGTCTTCAAGATCTCAATCTCCTTTTTCCAACTAGTCAAGAGCTGCTGGCTGCAACCCGATTTCAATGACTTCACTGCTACCATCTCACCAGTGCCATCATTGGTGGGATCATAACAATACAGGCTCACTTTACCAAAGTGGCCCTAACAGAATGAGAGAGAAACAAACAAGGTAAGGATTTTGAATTTCAAAAGCCAAATGTCCTTAACTATATTTCTTTGGGAACATTCACTGCAAATGTCTGGATGTACAGAACTTTTTTCAGAAGGAGAACTAATATCAATAATGTTCTCAGAACAATCCCCTGCTATATACAAGTCAATGAGTAATGCTTGCCCATTATTTCACTCAATGTTGTTGACATGCTGTGAAAATCAAACACTGACTTTCATCATCAAGTCTGAATGATGTTTATCTTTCTCCATTCTTGAATCTTTCTATGATTCAGACTGAAGGATCTCTATTTGTGATCCTATTTCATAGTTCAAGTAGCTGATATGTAAGCAGAATAGGCTTCTCTCATGGTTCAATCAGCAAAGTAAGATTATTATATGAAATTAGCAAAACTATGGAGCAAATGTTGAACTGAAGCAAAGGTGAAAGGACAACTGAATGGACATGTTGCACATCTGTTCTAAACAAGATATTTTATGGCTTGTTAAAAGTGAAAATATAGTTTCAGGTTCAACTTAGGTTGAATAATGATATTGAAAACTACAGTTTGGCATGATAACTAAAGTAACAAAATTATGGCTAGTGATTAACAAGTAAAAAAGCAAAAGCCAGGATCTGTAATGGGTTTGTGAACTACAGGTCAGCTTCATGTCTGATGAACTGTAAGTACAACTGCTGCACTGCTTCTAGAGAGAGCTAGCCCTACAAGATAAGACCACAGTAAAACCTCATTTTAACAGATTAACTGTTGGGGGGAAGTGTCTATTATGCTCCAGAATCCAATAATGCAAAGGATACATCATTGTGGCAACACAAATGACACCAATTACATCTTTGCATCGTTGGTGTGATGACATCATCACATAAATGTCAAAAATTGATGCAAATGATGTAATTTGCATCATTCACAATTACATCCTTTGGGAAACTATGGCATTACCTGTAGACAAATAATGTAAATTACAACAGACTTTGGCCCATTGCATGCAAAGTCCATTGCACTGAGATCTGTACAACTGAGATTTCACTGTACTGAACTAGACAAAAAAGAAAAAGTATTATAGCACCCAAGAAGCTCTAAATCATGTCTTACTAGAGTGCTGGGAAATAAAACTGGCTTGTTTCTAAACAAGATTACCACTAATAGTAGCATCAGTGTTGCAGAATACATCCCTTTTCACTTTTATGATGAGAACATTAAGAAACCAACACTCTATCATGCATGTGATGGGAGAGTAGACTGTATCTGACAATCAAAGACAAATATTCCATGGTGCTATAATGCCTTATCAGCAACTGCACATTCAGTTTTAATACAACAGGGGTGCTGAAATAAAAGAATCCTAAATATGTACATTTATAAATGTATAGCCCCATTCTTAACATTGATCATATGACTACACTGATACAATTGTAACTAATGCTGAGCACAATTCTGCTTCCTATTGTATGTTCACTGAATACATCTTTGTTTTATTGCTTCTTAAAAGATAGGAGACAATATGTCTGGTTCTCATAATGGAGGTGTGTGAGACATTTGATCCTCAATGTGCAAATAGAAAAAGTTAATCACAGGAACAGATTTAAAAAATCACAAAGGGATTTGAATCATCTGTTTCAGCTCTTACTTTTTAAGAACAGAGGAAGAAAATGAGTTATTATTCCTAACAAAGGCAATTTACCTCACCCAGATCTCGAATCTTTTTCAGGTAGCGCTTCTGAAAGACAGTAGGGTCTGATACAAGGAATGCAGGATTCACAGAGCTAATGTCGAGAGGGTCTGGAAAACAAGAGGGAAGATGTAGAGAATGCACAATGGCCAGAAGGGAAGAAATTCAAGTTACAAAGCACTAAATACTCTCCAGAAGCCTACACCATACATATCAGAAGTGACTTTTATTGGAGTTTAGTGCCGAAGAACTAAATTTTCATAGCCTCGTAACTTTCTATTCTCTATTTGAGCCAAACAAATTTCTAGGCTTGCCTAAAACACTCTCTTTCTTCTAGTTTTTGTTGTTTTAAGGCTAACATCTATTTTCCTCCCACTGGTATTATAATTTAAGTAGTTGTCACCAGGCCACAAACTGAGTCTCTGCTTATCCTCACTGCATCTTAATCAGGCCTCTTTACAATTGGCCTCTTGTATCCACTGTGATCTAGAAAGGAGTGAGGGAACACTATTATATTACACAAGACAGAGATTGCTCCCATTTTTGCAAACATTGGAGCACCCCCCATCCAGTTGTCAAAATTCAGTGACACATTTATTCTTGTTTTAATGAACAAAGAAACAACATGTATACACTGAGTTTCTGCTAACCATGATGGATCTATTTTTCCTTTTCAAAAATCACCCCCCCAAAATGAGATGTATCTCTCCCCACCTGTTTTGGCTCTCCGCCCCCGAGATAAAAAGACACA